GAAGGTCCCATAGCGTGTATTGCCTACAGCATTGTGTAAATACACTCTATGATGTTCACACAGTGACAAAATTGGCTAATAACCCACTTCTCGGAACATATTACTGTCATTAAGTGACTCACAATTATATTACTTTTATAAGAAGAAAAACAAAGCTACTTGTGTTTTGATAAAACAGAAAAATTATTCTCCGCTTCTGGCCCTTTTCTAGACATTAAGATCACTTAATACACAGGACCCAATAATCTGGTCTGGTGACAAACAAGGCATGGAATATGGGAAAAATCTGTTAGAAACAATAAATTATAGCCTCTAATAAAAGACTATAAGGACTCTATAAAAATCCTGCTATCCTGTAATGCTTTGCAAATACTGTACTGTAACAAAAAAGAGACAGTGGTTTTCCTCAGCACAACCCCCCTCTCTATACTTTTTGGCTGTAACAAAGCTGCAGGTGCCCGGCTCTCTCAGCGATCAGTTTAATGGGCTATCCTTGAAGGATGTGTGCAGTCCCCTGGGTTAAATCAGAGCTCAGAGAGAGGCATGACTTCCCAAGTGACAGATGCATCCAAAAAAGAACACGCAAATCACTTCTTAAAAAACCAATACTCTTGAAACTAATTATGTCTTAACTTTTAGATTTCTTCCAAAACACACAGAGAAGACCTAACACTTAAAACTGGCCCTGAAAGGTGGTAAGTGGCAAAACTTGCATAGTTTCTCAAGAGTAAAAATCAATGTTTTATTCTTCTACCCCCAGTTAATGTCTTTAGATTCTTATTAAGGCATGAAAACAGGTACAATGAAACCTTACTAGATGATCTGATGACAAGAGGATTTTTGTTGTTGTTGTTTCAATTTCCTGGTTAATTGACAGCTAGAAAATGCTTTTTTGTTGAAAACAGTTTCTTTTCCTAATTGTAAAACATTTAACCACTCTCAATGATTCAGCAGGTCAGTGTTAACAGTTACAAATACCCTCCAGGGTATATCCCCTTCACTGAACACCAAAGCTATCTTGTTTTCTCAGCCATTATCTTTGAAAAAGGGAAGTGAGCTGTGTGCAGTAGGGTGGGGTGTGTGGGCAGTGTTGGGGTGGGGGTGGAGAAGCAGAAAGATTAGTTAATTTGGGGTCTGTTAATTGGGTTCTAGGTAGATAAACCAGTGGTGAACACAAAGTCAGTGTGTGGAAGGAGTCAGGCACATCTGACCAATAAGAAACCTGAGGGCCAACAGGGATTGCCTAGGAGGGGCCTTCTCTACCTTGTGTCATTTTGTCTGGAAATGTTCTTCTCGGGGAATCTGTGTCAGTCTCTGAATTTATGGGGCTGCACTTTTTTTTATTAGATTCTAAATTGATGACATTCCAGTTCAGGCTTAGGGTGCCTGGAGATCCACATGGATATCAGAGATGAATAATCCCTTGTTTTTTTCTCCTTTAGACTTGTTCACCTGCAGTTTCTTTCCTACAGAAAACTTTAATTCTGATTTTTTAATATCACACTAATTATATCAGAAACCTTGGTTGCTTTGCCCTGGTCTTCACCACCTATGTGAAAAGCATTAAAAATTTATTTCTAGGCAAGTTTGGAAAGTTTGGTGTAAAAACAAAGGGGCTGACTTTTATATATATATATAGAGTCCTTTAATGACTTCATCTTACCACTTTTCTTTGTACACATACACACACACACACACATTCAAACATATACATACACTATCTTGATATCTTAAGGAAAAAGTGGGACAATTTTGGACAATGTTTCTGAGCATTTTGAAACTGTGAATCCTACGTGCTACTCTTCATGAATTCCAACCATTGGTCAGCCCCAGGGACAGGACCTAAAGATAGTGAAGGAGATTTGAAGAAACATGGCTACCAGGCCCACTGAGAATCTTCTGGTCATTCTTTAAAGACAGCTTTATTGAAACAGAATATAAAAAGCAAAAGTTAAGAAAGGCAGGACCCAATTGACTAATCTAGAGGGTTCCATTCTGAGTAGCTAGGATTACAGGCATGAGCCACCAGTGCCTGGTTTAAGAGTTCCATTCTGTATGCTTACCAGGAAACTGCATGTCACTCATTGACTTGTTCTGTGACTTATGGGTACAATAAAACCAGTACTCTCAACAGAACAGAGACTTGGTGATGAGGATAAATTATACTTAATTTGAAGAATGTAAAGAGGCCTCAGAATAACCAGAGGCCCTGTAGCAGGAGAACCAGCCACTGTTGGTTTCCTCTCAAAGCTTTCCTTTTCTACCACACTGAACTCTGCTTCCTCCCTACACATTCACCTCCACTGAGTAAGACCTGTTATGAGCTACAGTCAGGCATACAACTCCATGCCCTGCCCAAACAGAGTTGTGGGCATGAACTGGTTTGTGAACACAATCCCGAGGAACTAAAACAGCCCTGCTATAGGAGCGCTTTTCACCATAGCCAGGCAGGTCCTCTATGTGGGATTTTTGTAGAGACTAAAGATGTTTATGGCAAATTTCCTTGATAGATTCTGACAGGTATGTCTACTCCAACAAGAAACCTATTTCTAAGACTGACATATCCCATTCAGCAGCTGCTTTAACTTTGTTGTCTTTGGGGTTGCCCAAAGAGTACTGGATGAAGGAGAGGTGAGTGGGGCCAGTCTGTTCCTATTCTACCCTCTCAAACTGTAACATTGCTATTGAGTACTAGTTATTCTGCACGGCATTCATGGAAGGAGGGAAGCAATGGTATTTAGGATTTTTTTCTATTGTGGTAAAACATAGATAACATAAAAATTGTATTTAATCATTTTAAATGCACAGTTTGGTGGTATTAAGTACATTTACACTGTTGGGCAACCATTGCAACCATTGCCACCATCCTCCTCCTACACTTTTTCATCTTTCCAAATACTACATCCATTAAACAGCAATTCTCCATTATCTGTTCTCTTCCCTCTAGCAACCACCAGTCTACTTCCTGACTCTATGAATTTGACAATTCTAGGTACCTCATATAAGTGAGAACATCTCATATTTGTCCTTTTGCATCTGGATGATCTCATTCAGCATTTTACCATGGTAGCCTGGGTCAGAATTTCCTATCTTTTTAAGGCTGAGTAGTATTCCATGGTATGTACAGATCCCGTTTGTTTATCCATTCATTTGTCGAGGGGCATGTGAGCTGCTCCCACATTTTGGCTATCGTGAATGATGCTGCTGTGAACATGGGTGTGAAAATATCTGTTCAAATCCCTGCTTTCACTTGTTCAGGGTAGATACCCAGACGTGGAATTCCTGGGTCATATGGTAATTCCGTTTAGTTTTTTGAGATCACCCTACTCTTTGGTTTTCAGTTTTATAAAATTAATAAACTTTATTTTTAAGAGTTTTAGGTTTACAGTAAAACTGAGCAGAGAGTAAAGAGATTTTTCATATACTCCCATTCAGCTTTATGGAGCCTTTAAGTACTTGGTGACTGAGGCTCTGTTTACGAGTACAGGGAGTGATTCAGGCAGGTCCTACCACGCCCAGCTAGCAACTAAAGCCCCAATCCACCTGAGGAGTCACAGCAGCTTTCTTTCTTCCATACCTGTGGACATGATCCTTACTGAGAGCACAGGTTATCCTCCTGGAAAGCCTGCTGTGTACACATGGAGAGTCCCAGGATGGCTAAGCAGTAGGGAGCATAGGAACATTTGATCCAAGCCTTTTCTTTCTCTTCCTGCTGAAGATAATTTCATAAATCCACAACTTTCCTTCCAAGAATGCCGTGCAGAATAACTAACTAGTGCTTGACAGAGACGTGGGTGAGTAATAATAGATAATTACATCACTCACAACTCTGTCAATCCTGTAGCAGCCCAGTTATCCTTTGGGCAGCTGCAGAAGACAGCTCTGAGTTAATTTCACCAGGGATTCTTTCATCACCACCACTTTTAGTCTTATTTTTCTGATCTTGTGAGTTTATTTTAAACACATGCATTTAAATCCATCTCCAGGATTTTTGGCTGTATTTAATGTTTAGGCAATAGATATGTTCCTTCATTACATAGTTACTTGGCAATTGCTTTATTAACTGTAAGTATTCTCAATTCTAGAGAGTTATAATAAAAGAACTGTAAATCCTGGGGGCTACTTTGAATGATACCAAGTAAAATGTTATAAATCACTGTGCTTATCCACAGATTTAAAGTGCTCAGCAATTTTTCAAATGTTTCCTGGACAGCATTACTCATACTATTTTTACACTCACATTGATTCAATAAAATGAAAGAAAAAAACATTTAAAATTTCTACAATAAAAGCTCAGAAACATACAAAATACCTACATACTCATGGGCCTATGTGTACATTTGTACCTAAGCTCACATATATCCATGTGTGTGTTTCATTAAATACTTTTTTCTATTAATATGGAATAAATTGTTCTTGTTCTTGGCAGAGGCAATTAGCCTGTTTGAAAGCAAACACAATAACAAGGCAATCCTCAAAATAATTTCAGTCCTGAGAACTTGGAGCCCATAAAAACCTGGACTTGCTGACTTGGATTATTTGTTGGAGATATGCCTCCCTTTACATGTGTTTTGTGTGTCTTCCCTCACACACCTAAGTGTGGAAGAACAATACTGTAATGACTCACTTTGAAGGGGAACAATGTATTTCTCAACCCAGGGGAAGAAAGATATTTGAGTGTCTGAAAGCATGAGGAACATACCTGCAAAGGGACCTAAGCAGACGGCACTGTTAGTCACACCTTTTGAAAACCAAGGGCAAAGAATGGCTGGGAGCAGCAGGAGGAAAAGCTCCTCCTGCTGGAGTAATGGTGTCTTCATGGCTGGACTCTCAAATGTGAGCAAAGGCACTGAACTGATGTTAAAATTCTCTTTTTTGAGATGTGTGTCAATATATTCAGTAAAGTATTCCATGTCGTAATGATGTTTGAAGTATACAGTTTTTCTGCCTTCATCATTTATCCTTCCAATTATGCTTGAGTTAAAGCAGTGGTTCTCAAAGTGGGTCCTTGGACTAGATACATGGGCATCACTTGAAAACTTGTTAGAAAAGCAAATTTCTGGCCCACACCAGATTCACTGAATCAGAAACTCTGGGCCTGAGGCCTAACAATCTGAAGTTTAACAAGCCTCTGGGTGATTCTCATGCAAGCTAAAGCTAACAACTTGTGAGTTAAGAAATCACCAATATGCAGATTCCAACCCTAGCTCCTCACCTTAATTCTAATTTGTTAAAAGAAAGGTAATTCATGTGTGCTTAAGCATTTGTTACTAACCTAAGAAAATATTTACCATTGCTTAGTTAGGGAAAAGAAACCTTAGTAAAACTTACATATAATTTTTCCAGGTTCTGTCCTGGCTTCGAGTCTTAGGATGCAGGGAACTGGGTGAAGAGAGAGATGAGAAGGCTACAGCAATCCATTCAGACATGGACCCCAAAGCTCAACGGGGCAAATTTGTAATAGATCAGTGAGTCTCCACCTAATTGGGGAGGAAAAGTTTTCCATTAATGAAGTTTGCATGTGACTAGTCCCCCTTCTCCTGCTGTCTCACAACACTTTCATTCTGTTCTTTATGCTCTCTAGTAACCTACTGTGGTTCTGGCTGTGTGTCTCTTAACCAAACCACATAAATGGAATCTGACCAAATAGCCCACGGTATTAATGTCTGGGCTCCACCCATGTGGAAGCCCTAATCCTTGAGTCATTTCCTTTAGGTAAGCATCCCTCACCCAGTGCTCTCCTGAATCCAATAGCAACTTGGAAATAGGTTAATATCCAATATCCAATCAACAACCTCCTCTATTTCATCTTATGAATGCTTTCTTTCAACAAATTGGGACATCTTGGTTTAAGAGATACAAGATGTGGTTGTGGTAAGTAGGAGATTTTAAGGAAGCAAATGATTATTTTGTGAAGTCTGAGTGAAATGGGATGACTCTCTTGTTGTTTCAAATGTGTTTATTTTAAAATCAGCAATATACATTTTATGATGATGAATTAATAATGCTTATTGTAGAACATGAGGAAAATAGGGAAAGATATGTATATATTAATTCTAATTATATATCTAATTATATATATATATGTAAAACAAGAGAGAGAGAGAGAGAGAGAACGAACAATGGCAAGCTTGACACTGATAAATCACTAATGATATTTTGTTGTTCAAGTTCATAACACCTTCATTGGAACTCCTGTGGTTTTCTATGCTTCAGAATTCAGATTTATTTTAGATTTTTTTTTTTGGTGGACCTGAGGTTTGAATTCAGGGCCTTGAAAAGCTCAATAATCCAAATAAGAAACTCAATTGAAAGCCTTACTAATACAATGGAACAAGCTGAAAATACAGTATCAGGGATTAAAGATAAAGTAGAGGAATAAGCTCAATCAGGCAAAGAAAAGATACTAAGCAAATATAAATGGAACATGCAAGACCTTTGGGATACCATCAAAAGACCAAACCTAAGAATCATGGGTATATAAGAAGGAGAAGAGATACAAACTAAAGGTATAGAAAACACCTTCAACAAAATAATAGCAAAAAATTCGCCAATCTTGTGAAAGAGAAGGTCATCCAGGTACGGAAGGCTTTCTCAGTATCAAATAGGCAATCTCAGAAAAGAAACACTCCTAGACTCCTAGGCACATTAGAATTAAAACACTAAATATACAGATCAAAGACAAAATATTGAAAGGTGAAAGAGAAAAGCAATAAGTCACATATAAAGGCAAAACCATCGGAATAACAGCAGATTTTTTCAACAGAAGCTCTAAAAGCAAGGTAGGCAAGGAATGATATATTCCAAGCCATGAAAAAGAAAATAACTGCCAACCTAGATTATTATATCCAGCAAAGCTACTCTTCATAATAGAAGGAGAAAGAAAAACCATTCACAATAAATAAAAGCTAAAAGAATTCATTACCGTTAAACCAGCACTGTACAAGGTACTTAAAGGAATCCTATACACAGAAGAGGAAGATAAATGCAACTAGGAAAGTATAGGAAATAATAAATCACACTAGATGAGGGGATTAGCAAATGAGAATTAGCAAGCAAGCTAAACATAAAACAAAAAAACAAAGTGACAGGAGATACAACATAATTTTAAATATTAAAATTGAATGTTAATAGCTTCAACGCTCCACTCAAAAGACAGATTTGCAGGTTGGATTAAAAAGCATGATCTGGTCATTTGTTGCCTACAATAAATCCATCTCACTGACAAAGACAAACATTGTCTTAGGGTGAAAGGATGGAAAAATATTTTCTAAATAAAGGGACCCCAAAAGCAAGCAGGAGTAGCTATACTCATATCTGATAAAACAGACTTCAAATCCAAATTTGTCAGAAGAAACCAAGAAGTTCAATATAAAGGGAATGATCCATCAAGAGGAGATAACAGCTGTTAACATATGCATCAAATTTTGGCACACCCAATTTGTTAAACAAACACTATTGGACTTATAAGCACAGACAGACCCCACCACAATAATAATGGGAAATTTCAATACCCTCCTCTCACAGTTAGATAGGTCACCCAGACAAAAACTCAACAAAGAAACTTCATAATTAATTGACACTTTAGATCAAATGGATTTAACAGACAAATACAGAGTATTTCATCTAGCAGCTGCACAATACACATTCTTCTCAGTGGCCCATGGAACTTTCTCTAAAATAGATCATATTTTAGGACATAAAGCAAGACTTAACACATATAAGAAAACTGAAATTACCCCCTGTATTCTTTCAGACCACAATGGGATAAAACTAGAAATCAACAACAAAAGGAACTATAAGAAAATCTTTAAACACATGGAGACTGACAAAGGACTGATAACCAGAATATACAGGGAACTCAAAAAACTAAACACTCCCAAAATTAATGAACCAATAAAGAAATGGGCAACTGAACTAAACAGATCTTTCTCAAAAGAAGAAATTCAAATGGCCAAAAAACACATGAAAAAATGCTCACCATCTCTAGCAATAAAGGAAATGCAAATTAAAACCACGCTAAGATTCTACCTAACCCCTGTTAGAATAGCCATTATTAAAAACACCACTAACAACAGATGTTGGTGAGGATGTGGGGAAAAAATGAACCCTCATACACTGCTGGTGGGAATGCAAACTAGTGCAACCACTCTGGAAAAAAATTTGGAGGCTTCTTAAAAATCTAAACATAGATCTACCATATGATCCAGCAATCCTACTCCTGGGGATATACCCAAAGGAATGTGACACAGGTTACTCCAGAGACACTTGCACACCCATGTTTATTGCAGCACTATTCGCAATAGCCAAGTTATAGAAACAACCAAGATGCCCCTCTACTGATGAATGGATTAAGAAAATATGGTATTTGTACACAATGGAATTTTACTCAGCCATGAAGAAGAATGAAATCTTATCATTCACAAGTAAATGGATGGAACCGAAGAACATCATTCTGAGTGTGGTTAGTCAGGCTCAGAAGACCAAAAATCATATGTTCTCCTTCATATGCAGATTTTAGATCTAGGGCAAATACAGCAATGTGGTCGAACTTGGGTCACATGATAAGGGGTGAGCACACATGGGAGGTATGGGGATAGGTAAGAAATCCAAAACATGATAGTAATTGATGTCTCCACTCCAGAGGAACTAATATAGAAACCTTAAAGTGACAGAGGTCAATATGAGAAGGGGATCAGGAACTAGTGAAAAGGTCAGTTAGAGATGAATCAACTTGGGATGTAACACATTTCTACATGGAAGCAATGCTAGAAATCTCTCTGTATAGCTATCCTTATCTCAACTAGCAAAAATGCTTTGTCTTCCTTATTATTGCTTATACCTTCTCTTCAACAAAATTGTAGATAAGGGCAGAACAGATTCTGCCAGGAAGCAAGGGGGGTGAGGGTGATGAAGGGGCGGGGAAGGGTGGGGGCAGAGGGTAGGAGGGCAAAATGGCCCAAACAATGTATGCACATATGAATAAGTGAATTGTGTCATCAAAGAAATAAGGAGGGAAATATTTTTTAAAACCCCAGAATCTAATGGAAATGAAAACACAACTTACCAGAATCTCTGGAATAAAGCAAAACTCAGAGGAAAGTTTATAGTTAGGAATACCTACATTAAAAAACAAAACAAAAAAACAAGCAAGCAAGCAAACAAACAAACAAAAACCCCCAGAGAGATCTCAAATAAATAGCATAATGATGTACTTCAAGCTCCTAAAAAAACAAGAACAAGCTAAACCCCAAATTAGCAGGCAGAAAGAAAAAAATAAGATTAGGGTACAAATTAATGAAATGGAGACTAAAAATATACAAAGAATCAATGAAACAAAAAGCTAGTTCTTTGGAAAGTTAAATAAGGTGGATAGTTAGCCAAACTAATCAAAAGAATGAGGGAAAAGGCTCAAATTAATAAAATTAGAGATATCACAACAAATAATAATAAAATCCAGAGGATCAGTAGGAAATACTTTGAAAACCTATATTCTAATAAACGGAAAGAGCTAGAAAAAATGGATAAATTTCTATATGCATTTGACCAACCAAAACTGAACCAATAACATAGAAGCTACTTAAACAGATCTATAACAAACAATGAGATTGAAGCAGTAATAGTCTCTCAACAAAGAAGAGCCTGGAAATGGGTAGATTTCACTGCTGAATTCTACCAGACCTGTAAAGAAGTAACACCAATGATCTCAAACTATTCAATGAAATAGAAAAGGATGGAACATTACCAAACTCATTCTATGACTCCAGTACTACTCTGATCCCAAAACTGGACCAGGACACAACAACAACAACAAAAGAAAATTATAGACCAATTTTGCTGATGAACATAAACACAAAAATTCTCAATAAAATTCTTATAGACTAAATTCAACTACACATTAAAAAGATCATACACCACAATCAAGTTGGTGTCACTCCAGGGATGCAAGGATGGTTCAACATATGCAAATAAATAAATGTAATGGAGCTCATAAACAGAATGAAGGACAAAAGTCACATGATAATCCCAATAGACACAGAAAAAGCCTTTGACAAAATTCAACATTCTTTTATGATAAAAGCTTTGAAGAAACTAGTAATAGAAGGAATGTACCTCAACATAATAAAGTCTATATATGACAAACCTACAGCCAACATTGTATTAAACAGGGAAAAACTGAAATCATTTCCTATAAAGTCAGGAACCAGACAAGGGTGTCCACTTTCCTCACTCTTATTCAATATAGTACTGGAATTTCTAGTCAAAGAATAAGGCAAAAGAAAATAAAAAGGATTCAAATATGGAAGGAGGAAGTCAAATTATTTCTCTTTTTGGATGGTATTATCCTACATTTAAAAGACCCTAAAGAGTCCACCAAAAAAAAAAAAAAAACCAAAAACCAAAAAACCCAAAACCTTCTAGATCTGATAAACACTTCTGGCAATGTAGCAGGGTATAAAATTAATACAAAAATCAAGTT